CTCATTTTACCGACCTCGGAAGGATGGAAAGCTGAGTCAATCTTGAACTTGGTGAGATTCAGTCTGCCAGATTGCAGGTAGCTGGCAGGCAGCAGAAGTAGCCTGCAGTACTGCACTCTGACCACTGTACCACTACAGCTATAACCACAATTTAAGCCAACAATTTCCAGTGAGGCAGTTGTTAAATGAGTTTTGCCTCATCTTCTTTTTTTTTTTTGCCACAGTTGTGAATCACTACACTTACTAAGTGAATCTGGCTTCCCCCATTGATTTTGTCTGTCAGAAGCCAGATGGGAAGGTTACGAATGGTGATCACATGACCTCAGAACACTGCAACAGTCATCAGTATATGCCAGTTGCCAAGGGCCCAAATGTTGATCACGTGACCACAGAGATACCGCATCTGTCATAAGTGTGAAAAACAGAAGTCACTTTTTTCGGTGCCATTGTAACTTTGAAGGTCACTAAACAAATGGTTGTAAGTCGAGGATTATCTATATGTCCCATGTTAAAAAATATTCTGTTTTTTCCTTCTCCTTTATTTTGAGCGTTAATCTATCCATCTCTGCACATTCCAATATTTTTTTATTACACTTTCATCTGCCGTTTTACCAATGGTTAACTAACAGAAACAGAAGTTAGAAACTCAACAATTTAAGAGAATGATTAACTATACAATGTAGGTTTATTAGAATGGATAAGCAATTATTATATACTTTATTCATTAAACATGAAGCTCAGTTAACTTAACATTTAAAAATGTATCACAAATATTATTAACTGGCGCTGATGGTTGATTGTCATCATCATCATTATTATTATATACTTTATTCATTAAACATGAAACTCGATCAACTGAACATTTAAAAATGTATCACAAATATTATTAACTGGCACAGCCTCCTGGGTATCGACCAAGTTATTGTTCTTATTCTTATTCTTATGAATATTATTGTTATTATTATTATTATTATTCAAAATTAACTGTACCCAGACAGCACACTGTTCATGTAGATGTTGAGTGTTTATGTTTACTAAAGAAAAATGCATAAATAAAGCATTTTTTTTTAAAAAAGGACTATCTATTTGTCCTATCCTGCTGAGAAGGTTGTTGCGTTTTCTTCTCAGAAGGTCAAATTACTGGGGGAAGAAGACCACTGATGTGGGCTAATGACCCGCAGGCAGGGATCAGGGGTGGGATTCTACCAGTTCGCACCTATTCGCTAGTACTGGTTGTTAACATTCTAAGCCGTTTGGAAAACCGGTTGTTAGAAGAAATTACTGGGCTAATCCTGTAAGGAAGGCAGGAAGGAAACATTCTGGTGTTGCTTACAGAAACTGCCTCTCCATTAACTCTTATTACATTCTTGGCAGGACTAGACTTCCTGTCTCAGAACTTCTCTGGAGTATTTTTCCCCTCCTTTGCTGGTACTTTGCTTGTGTGGAGTGACCATTGAAAAAAATGACTTATGACCATTTTTCATACTTACGACTGTTGCAGCATCCCCACAGTCACAAGAGGCCAGGCGAGGAGATGCGTGCCTCGATGTGAGTGATGTTGAATTGGCCACACCCAGCCAGTAACATGACCACCAAGCCATGTCCACCCAGTCACATGACCACCAAGCCACGCCCACCAACTAAGCCACGCCCACAGAACCAGTTGTTAAAAATTTTGAATTCTACCGGTTCTGTCCGGCTCTACAGAACCGGTAGTTCTGAAGAGCGGCAGACACAGAACCAGTTCTGTGTCTGCTGCTGTTTTGGCTCACCCGCCCACGCAGCACTGCTCAGCTGTCCGCGTAGCTCAGCATGGTGTTAACTGCATGCGCGCACGACTTTTCATCTCAACTCAGATCCCCCGTTCAAATTCTAACTCAGGGTCTGACCTCAGTGGAAACACTATGAGAATGTACAGATGGAAGAAAAATCCGGGTGGACCACAGTGGTAAATCTTGGTACTGAAGAAAACCAGGTTCAGCTGTTGTTGTTGTTTTTTTTGCACAGAGCTTTGGTTTGTAAGTGACATTTTGAGATTTAGCGCTCAACGTTCGCCAAATTGGAAGCTTCTCTTAACTCGGGAGTACGAAGCTATAAAAAAACAACCCACAGAAAGGAAACCAACCCAGATGAGTTGATGATATCGTCAGCTCGTCCGATAAACTTAAAGTAGCCATCTTCATCTATCACTCCTCTGTCTCCAGTGAGGAAAAAATCCCCGTGTGTTGTGGCGGCTGTTTTTTGAGGTGTATCCTGATGAGAACATTTCGGAAGCATACAATTAGCCATATAACCAGAGATGGTGAATTCAGCCAGTTCTGACCAGTTCTGGAGAACTGGTAGCGGAAATTTTGAGTAGTTCGGAGAACTGGCAAATCCCGCCTCTGACTGCCCCCCCCACCCATCAATTCTCTGCCTCCCATTGAGTCCCAGCTGATCGGCTGCATCTTCTTTGGTTGCCCTACACAGGAGAACGGAGCTGGAAAGCAGGTTAGTGGGGTGGGAATTGGATTTTGCAGTATCCTTTCCCCTGCCACGCCCACCAAGCCATACCAACCAAGCTATGCCACACCTGCCACACCATACCCACCAAGCCATGCCCACAGAACCGGTAGTAAAAAAAAATTGAATACCACCACTGCATATAACTACCACTTCAATGGAAATCTGTAGGAAGTGTGTCATTGGCCACTGTGATGGGTTAGTAAAGATTTATTCCCCAAACAAAAGAAAAGGACCCAATCTAATTTACTCTCTAGACCAAGGGTGTCCAATCTTGGCAACGTTAAGCCTTGTGGACTTCAATTCCCAGAATTCCTCAGTCAATTCTTGTTCCTTTAGACCAGGGATATCCACCTGTGGCGACTTGTGGACTTCAACTCCCAGAATTCTGGGAGTTGAAGTCCATAGGTCTTAAAGTTGCCAAGATTGGACGCCCATGCTTTAGACATATCTGGGACTTTTTTTTTTTTTTTTTTGCAGGGAGGGATTAAGAATTCTAAAAACTATGAGTAAAATTAAGGACGATTGTGACACATTCTCCAATTTCTATTAAATAAAGGAGCTCCCCGGGACTTAGAGAATACGGGGATTTTCCCAAGATTTACTTACAATGTACTGAGTGAACAAACCAAGGGGTCTTTCAGGTTTGATTCTGATCGCTATTTCACCTTCTTTTCCATGAGGTAAAATATTGGCTTCTTGGTCTACAATCTAGGGGGAGGGGGAAAAGTCACTCAACCACTGGCTTTTATCTGGATATACAGGTAATTAGAACAGAACAGAATAGAATAGAATAGAATAGAATAGAATAGAATAGAATAGAATAGAATAGAATAGAATAGAATAGAATCTATTAAGAATAGAGCAGAACAGAACAGAACAGAACAGAACAGAACAGAACAGAACAGAATAGAATATTTTATTGGCCAAGTGTGATTGGACACACAAGGAATTTGTCTTGGTGTAAATACTCTCAGCATACATAAAGAAAACCTCCGAGTTACAACCACCAATTAAATGATTGTTTAAAATTACGACACCACTGACAAATAGTGAACTTATGACTGTTGTACAATCCTCATGGTCACGTGATCAAAATTCAACTTTAAGTTTTTCTTTATTTTATTTAAAACACTTACATTCAATTCATTTTTCATTTAACGGTGTGTCGTCCGGTTACAAATATCTTGTGCCATAACAATTACATTTTATAACCATGTTCATTATTTTATTATTTTATTAATTATATAATTATATTAATTTATTAATTATATATTAATTCTCTATTCTGATCATATTCATATCATATTAGTATACAAATTATTTCTAGAACTATAACATTTATCTTCTTTACGTATTCAATTCTATTAACATGTTTTCTGTATTTCGGTGGTCTAATAATTATTTCTAGCTTTCATAGTTTTTCTCTAGCCATTGATTAAAAGAATTCCCATGTCTGATAATATTCAGGTGGTTCCTTCTCTTTAATTGCAAGTGTTAATCTGTTCATTTCTGCACATTCTAGTATTTCCCTTATGACAGCCTCTTCTGTCGGCAACTTTTCATTTTTCCAATTTTGTGCAAATACAATTCTAGCTGGGGTTACTACATGGATAATTAAATATATCTTATCCTTACTATAAGTTTCTGGTATGACGTGATCAAAATTCAGAGGCTTGGCAACTGTATTTATAATGGTTGCAGTCTCCCAGGATGATGGGATCCCCTTTTGTAACCTCCTGACAAGCCAAGTGTCAACTCATAAAATATTTCTACGGTCTTTTTAGAGTTGCCAACAGAAAGGGAGGGGGGAGCAGTGCAGCAGCTTGCAAATTGCATTCCATAAATGTTTTCAAAGATAGTCACTAGGTGACTGAAGTTTCTGCTGCATAAAATTCTAACTGGAGAGCATGATTGATGACTCTGGGCTATGGATGTGTCCCATTGGAGCATATGAATTATGATACACCCAGGGGATGGGAGGAAAACCAGGGTCAAGGGTGACAAGGAATAATGTGTCTCAGAGTCGGCTACACCCAGGCAGTGCCAGCATGTTAACTCCCAATAAATCCTTTTGAAGTTTTGGAAGTTTGGCTCGAGACTCATGATTTAAAAGGGGGTAACTGCTGGAGCCCTGACACAAAGAAAACCAGCTTCACTGAACAACCGTGTCCCTAACTTAACAACGGCAGGAATTCACTTAACAACCTTGGCAAGAAAGCTCATCCAATGGAGCAGAGCTCACTTAACAACTGTCTCACTTAGCCGTGGAAATTTTGAGCTCAGTTATGGTCTCAGGTTGAGGGCTGGCTACAGGGGTGGGCTTCAAATTTTTTATCAAGGGGCTCTCTGCTCTAATGACTAGCCGGGTAGGTGTGGCTGGGTGATCATGTGGCTGGGTGGTCATGTGACTGGGTGAGCGTGGCTAGGTGGTCATGTGACTGGGTGGGTGTGGCCAACACAACATCACTTCTTTGCCCTAAGTACCTAAAAAAGATATATACCCAAAATTTGTTTATTATTTCATGCATTTAATACTTAAATAAAATACTTGGTGAAACCGGGCTTAATAGCAGAGACTGTGAGAGGGATCTTGGAGTCTTGGTGGAGTTTCTGGTGAGTTACATAATTCTTATTATTTGGGGATTAATCCCCTCGGAGGCTAGTGGTTATGTTATCTGATTTTCTCCATGGCTCTCCCTCACAAGCGCTGAGTGGATTGTTTATCTAGCTTGCAACATTTTTACAAGGTGTGAAATGCTCTTGGCAGAATGCCCAGAAGTTCAATTAAGCCTATGAAGAGCTTTCCCTTGCTGCTTGTCTTTCTGAGTTTATTGGGGGCTCTCCGAGCTCCGCAGAGTCTTAGCTAGAGGCTGTCCTGAGCCCCTGCGTGTCCCCAGCAGCCCACCCCTGGCTGGCTACCTGTAATCCAGTTTGAGAGGCTGAATGTGTTTAATTTGAAAATTAATACAAAGAAGGAGATTGAAAATACCAACCTGGACATCATAAGGAAAAAGGGCTTTTCCCATTGTGCCAGGCTTAATTTTCATTTCTTTGGAAACCGAACAAATCGATCCCTATACAAAAGAAAATTACTTTGTAAGAAATACACGCACATACACACAAACACACACAGCCTCCTCATTTTTTCCCATGGTTTTAGAAACACATACAATTTGGCCCACACATATTCACAGAGAAATCTATTTCAATAGGTTTACTCACAAAGAAGTATGAAGAGGACTGTAATTTCACCCCCATCGTGCTTATTCTTGTCAGTTATTTTGTGACATCAGTAAATCATTTTAAACAATTAGAACTGGGTTCCTAATCACCTTGTCTATTTTTTCCTCAGTAGTGTCTATAGTTTACTGTCCCAAAACATAAAATATTTGCTCAGTAGGAAACATTTGAAACATTAGAAGCCAAAAGCTACCAAGCTACTACAGACATGTCAATTATATATATAAAAAAATTCTTTACTCTTCTACAGGTAAAACAATATTCCGTCCTCTAGAGCAGTGTTTCGCAAACTCAGCAATGTTAAAATCGATATATTTCAATTCTCAAAATTCCCCAGCCATCCATGCTAGCTGGGGAATTCTGGGAGTTGAAGTCCGCACATCTTAAAACTGTTGAGGTTGAGGAACAGTGCTCTAGAGGTAGCTGGGAGTTTTACAATGTTTTAAAATAATTGTGAGAAAGTCATTATAAATTGAATAGAACATACAGCTTCTGTCTGTCCATATAGTTCATAGATGTCCAGTCCTGTCTTGTTCTTCCATTCTTCTATCACTTCAAGACTTATTGGTTCCCCTCCACTTATACAGTATTGGAGACTCTTGAACTTGTAACTTAATGAGAGCATACACAAGATTATTAAGAAAGTGGACATTAATATTCTGGGGCAGGTTATAAACAAAGCATCAAAAGAATTCTGCTAGAAGTATGAGGCTCATTTTAGGAACCACTAACTGTAAAAGAGTAAGCAAAACTAGGGAGTCGGGGTTAAGTGTGTTATCAACTTAGAATCTTTGCATTCTCACAAATGATCCAAGGTTAACTTCTCCTGATTTCCATTGACCCTCAGGAGCAGATTAGAATGATAAGCTTCAAAGTGGGTTCTGAAAGGAGGTACATCCTTGCATAAACATAGTTTTTTTTAATGTCGCTTCCCATCATACCTGGTGAAATCTTCCTTCAAGAACATGCGAAAGACGGTAGGAGGACTCAGGAAAGCGGTGATCGGAAATTGGGAGAGAGTCTAAAAAGGATATATGTGCACAATAAGAAGCCAAGCAAAGGTTGTGCACGAATTACACACTGAACTAATCCAAGGGTTGATAATAAATTCAACATTTAGGCTAATTGAGTTGGGTTCTAGCCCAAATGAGCTGATGCAAAGAAATGATAAGACACAAAGGTGGAGTTCAAGATACTTGACCTGTACTCCTAATGGGAGATGTATCTGGGCATCTTTTGGGCTGGAGCATAAAGGAAAATACTTGTGAGCATAGCTTGACTTCTGGGACATGCAGTTTTCATGGTTTGCTATTGTTTTACAGTATAAAATGTAATTTTATAAATTTTATATTTTTGTGCTTTTATAAATTTTATCATTTTATACTTTTATATTTTTATAGATTTATAATTTTATAATCTTTTATCATTTTAATTTTAAATTCCATTTCTAACATGTTCATTCTCATACACTGTTTCATATTTTGATACTTATTTATTTTTTATTTGATTTATTTGATTTGATTTGCCAATTGTTTACAAGATAATAAGTATAAATGTATACATAGTTGTGAATACATGAAATGGGTACATATAAGAAAAATAAAAGAATAAGAGAAACAATAGGACAGGGACGGTAGGCACGTTGGTGCGCTTATGCACGCCCCCTACAGGCCTCTTAGGAAAGGGGTGAGGTCAATAGTAGACAGTCTAAGGTTAAAGTTTTTGGGGTTTGGGGAAGAAACTACAGAGTCGGGTAGAGTATTCCAGACATTGACCACTCTATTGCTGAAGTCGTATTTCCTGCAATCAAGTTTGGTGCGGTTTACTTTGAGTTTGTATCTATTGTGTGCTCTTGTGTTGTTATGGTTGAAGCTGAAGTATTCACTGACAGGTAGGGCATTGCAATGTATGATTTTATATACCATGCTTAAATCAGACCGAAGACGGCGTAATTCAAGGTTTTCTAGTTCAAGAATTTCAAGTCTGGTGGCATAAAGTATTCTACAACGAGTAGAGGAGTGGAGAACTCTTCTTGTGAAATATTTCTGGACTTTCTCAATTGTGCTAATATCAGATACTGTACACCAGATAGAGTCCCTCTTTGGGGGAGATGGGCGATCCAGAATTGTGGAATATCAATAAATATATAATTAAGTGTACAGTATCAAGCAACTCAACAAGGATGGAGCTAGGTTAGAACCTGATAAATAATATTCAAATATTGGTTGTGAGTTACCCAGGATATGAGGTAGGTACAGAGGTGGCATTCAGCAAGTTCTGACCAATTTGAAGAACCGGTAGCAGAAATTTTGAGTAGTTTGGAGAACTGGTAGTGGAAATTTTGAGTAGTTCGGAGAACTGGCAAATCCCACCTCTGACTGGCCCCGCCAACCCCATCTATTCTCTGTCTCCTGAGTCCCAGCTGATTGGCTGGCTCTTCTTTGGTTGCCCTACACGGGAGAATGGAGCTGGAAAGCAGGTTAGTGGGGTAGGGAGGGAATGGGGATTTTACAGTATCTTCCCCTGCCACGCTCATCAGGCCACACCCACAGAACCGGTAGTAAAACAATTTTTTGAATCCCACCACTGGGTAGGTGGCCATATAGGTTCTGCCAATGAATAAAGAAGCATGAGAAACTCTTTTCAAGAAACGTCATCTTACTCTTAGGATGGTTGTGTTTTCTAACATTGGTGAGTTATGGATGAAGACGCAGGTTCCCAAAACCCATGGATCAAAAAATGAACCCAGGGCAGCCACCACCCAGCTCGTATCTGCTGTGCTCCATATAAGGTCCGAAGAGGTTGTGTACAACCAAGATCTGATAAAACAAAGGAAATCATTGTCAGCTTTGGAAGCCATATGGAGGCCAGACGCTTCCACACTGCCACTTTCTTGAGCCTGGGAAAGTGGGAGGGGGGAATTCCTTGGAGTGTATGTGGTTAGACATAATAACATTCTTTTTCTAAGTCAAGGTCATGTTATGCTGTGCATAAGTGAGGGGAAGTCTCAAGTTGGGATAGGTGGTGTTTGGGGCATGTGATGTGATGATGGATGCAGGGGGTGGATTTGTAATTTTTACTTATTGCCAGGGAGCCTGGAAGTTTCAGATTTGGGATTCCCCAGATGTGCCAGTTTATGTCTGTCTCTTGAGTTATTTGTTAGATTGGAGGTTTTCTGGAACGCTGACAATCGTATTGAGGGCAGCAATTTGATGGTCCACAAAGCCAACCACTGAATATTAACCTGAATGGAAATGGAAGGAATGGAAGTAACTGATGAAATCGATGGAACGGAATTGACCTCTTGTCATTTGGCATTGAAGTCAACTAAATAGTGGACAGACATTCAATGAGATGAGTATGACTCAATGATTGACAAGTCGTATTCAAGGATATGGCCTTGAACGGTTGGCATCTTATAGCTGCTTGCATGCTTTTTTTTTCATGTGCTATGCTTTTCTCTAGAAGGACTTTCGAAGAGCTCAGTTAATGTTAGCTTCTTCACCTTAATCATCATCATAACCATGTATACTAGGTTAGGCTGGAGGTTAGTGAGTAGCCCATGTTTGTTCATTAGATTTCATTCCTCCTGGGTTTGTGGGTGCTCCATCATGGGCGGTTTTCAAAAATAGACTGGTCAACCATTTGACTGGAATGGTGTAGGTCTCCTGCTTGAGCTAGTTGGACTAGAAGACCTCCAAAGTCCCTTTTAGCCCTACAATTCTACGATATTCTTATATCTAAAACTTTTGCATTTGTTTTTTTAAGCAGCCATGTTTAAAATCAGCTAACACAAAGCCTCTGAACATAACCGTATCACTTAATTATAATGAGGAATAGTCATATATTTGTCTATTATTTTTAATATCCAATATCCCTAACAATGAATTCACCATTATGAATTTTCACTGGGATTTTGAGGGAGCTTCTTTCATACCTTTGGCTAATGAGGGGTCTGAACCCCAGACTCCCTTGGGTGTGTTCAATCATCTTGGGAGCCCCGGTGGTTCCACTGGTGAAATAAACCAACATGGGATCATTCATCTTGGTTTTCGCACAAGTATGGTTGGCAGGTGCCTCTCTGTGTAATAAATAACATCCCAGCAATTGAAACGCATTAGGAAGTCAGATTATTGAAGCAGTCACATTCAACCCCTACCCCCACCCCATATGATAATAATACTGCTGGTTATCATATTGGTTATTGCTGGTTATTTATTCATCTATCCCTCTGTTAATATTCTGGCTTGAAGAAACTCTTTTTAAACACGTTAACACTTTTAACTAAGGTTACTGATCCTTATTTAGAGTTGCTATGGATTGAATTTTGAAGTGTCTTTACGGAAAACAGGGGTTCTAATTTTGGATTCTTCCTCCCATCTTCAGTATAGGTAGGCCTTGACTTACAACCACCTGTTTAGCGATGAGTTTGGCGGCTTGGCCACTGACATATTTTTGACTGTTGAGGTCACCTTTTGAGACTTTCCAACAAGCCAAGTCAAGGGGGGAAGCCAGATTTGCTTAAGGACCACCCAATTCACTTTGTGGTCTTTCAATTCACTTTCACAATTCACAATTGCAGTCTTAAGGATGATCTGTCCTCCAGCATAAATCTAGATGGACCTCAAAATCATGTAACTTGGGGAGGGGGGATTTTTTTTTAGACAGTCAGGCTAAAACCAAACTGCCCTCTTGGTGTGTTTATTTCAGGCTCCACCAAGGAAAGATCACCACGTGAGGAAGGATATAGCTCATCAATTCACGATCGTGCATCCTGAGAAATAAACTCACCTGAGCAGCTCATCGAAGTTCAGCCATCCTTCTCGCTTGCCTTCAGAAGACACCAGCAGCTTGGTTTTGAGAGAGGTACACCGTGGGGTAACATAATCCACTGCAGATCCTAAGGCCTCTGTAGTGATGAGGCATTTGGCTCCCGAAGCTTGGAGTCGGTACTCAATGTCCTTAGCAGTTAGTTGCAATGTTGCGGAGATGGCCACAATTCCTGCAAAGGTTGATAAGGTAGGGAGTCTGTACTACTCATAGTCAAAGCAAATTCATCATTATCCTCTCCATTTAATGACCCCATAATCAGTGGTGGGATTCAAAAATGTTTACCACCGATTTGGCGGGCGTAGCTTGGTGGGCACGCTTTGCATGCGTACATACGCTTTGCATGCGCCAAACACGCACTTTGTCAGTCTCCGCTGCTCATCGTCACTACCAGCTCGGCAGAACCGGGCCGAACCAGTAACACACCACCACTGCCCATAATCCCTTACGGGGTGGAGTCTGGGCAACTGAATGGAGCTGAGTGTTTACTGGCCGGATGCCCTTCCTGTCGCTGATGCGGAGTTTTTCCCCCAGCAGATATATTCTCATCGTGCCCAGAGAGAGAAATATCTGCCTCTACTTAGGATTGAACTCACAGCCTCCTGATTGTGAGGTGAGAGCAACATCTCTAGGCCACCACACCACTCTTGGTCAAAGCAAATTGGCGAGAGATAATTTCTATTTGGCAAATGAATGAATGAATTAATGAATGAATGAATCAAAGGAATTCAAGGTGCCCTGGAAGAGACGAAGGGACTCTCTTGGGCTCAGCCTGGTCATCTCCTGCAATTATTTTACTTCTGTTTTGTTTGCACTCTTTTCATGTCTTCCTTATTATTCTTGTAAGCCACCTAGAATAGGCGAGACAGGCAGCAAATCAATTTAACAAATAAAATAAATAAAAATGACGTGTTTTTTTTTTTAAAAAATTGACCTGTCCTAATGCAAGCCGTGATCACCAGCCACCATTCCGGAATCCGGGAGAGAATGACCAGGATTCTGTCGCCTTTGCGTAGTCCACATTGGTCGGTGAGGATATTGGCCACTTTCCTGGAGTGGAGCCCCATCTCTTCAAAGCTCCATCTGACCTCACCTCCTCTTCCATTGATCCACCACAGGGCTGGGTTGGGCAACCTTTTTCCATCCTACAAAATGGATCCCCACAAAGCAGAGAGAGACATATTTACTCTTCTCTTAAAGCTGCATTAATATTAAACGTTTCTGTGCAAGCACAGCCTGATGGACAGAAACCGGTGTGGTAGCTGACTTTGGACTGCTAGCTTAGTTCAATACCCTCTGTCCATATTCCAAATGAGAATGTGTTCTGACCAAGGCTTCCGTAATTAAGCACACGCTTAGTTAAAAACAACTCTTGTTTTATTTCAACGCTGGGAATTATTTTCATTCCCAGCCTGTAATGAGTCCTAAACAGTCCCTCAAGATAAGCACCCACCTTTCTTTCCTTTGAATTGCTGCCAACAACTAAAGTGCCAAATGAATTATAAAAAAACAACCGAAGGACGAAGTCCACACAGAGCTTCAAGGATTAATCCTAACAGAACGAATGACTTTGCTTCCTGCAAAGGTTTCTTCACCTTTGCCTGACTTTTATACCTTATGGGAGGGGCAATCACCTCCCAGCCTTACTCCCGAGTCACCCCTTTTGTCTTAGCTGTTCTTCCTTCTAGCAGTTCTGCGCATACGCGCACTGGGAACTGGCTCCCCTGGGTCCTCTGCCTCGCTGCTGCCAGACTCTGAAGGCTCCAGAGGCATCACCCCACTCCCAGATGGTCCTCCTGGCCCCATCTCCACCTCATCCCATCTCCAGACTCCCGGACAGGTCCCTGTTCTTCCCCACTGTCTGATTCCGCTGCCGTTTGCACCGCCTGCCGGCGAACCACAACAGAATGGGACAATTCACCGTAGGCCAACTCACCATGGCCAACTTACTGTGGGACAATTCACCACAGGACAATTGAACAATTCAATTTAATCGTTTGAAATAAATTAAAAAAAATATTTTAATTTTGGTCCCTCCCATTTCATTCTGTCTCTCCTTTTGCATCCTTTCATGAATGATTCTAGGCTTTCTTTGATGTTGGTGTAATTTTTGTCCCGCGGCGACTTGGCCGTGGCAAATTGTCATAGACCCATTCCGAATGGGGCTGTGATTCCTGGTGGCAGCTACAGATCACCCTCGACTTACAACCACAATTGTGAACAGTGTTTCTATTGCTAAACAAAGCGATTGTTAAGGGAGTCACGCCCGATTTTAGACTTTTTTTTTTTCATCATGATTGTTAAGAGAATCACAACAGTTCAGGAAATCATGTGGTCATTAAACACATCCAGCTTCCCTCATTGTCAGAAGCCAGCTGGGAAGGTCATAAATGATGATTTTATTGTCTGTCTGTCTGTCTGTCTACAGTATCTATCTATCTATCTATCTATCTATCTATCTATCTATCTATCTATCTATCTA